AGGAGAGAGTACTTGCGAAAGCATTATCTCGATCGGATCATTGTTGGTCCCTATGACCGTATCTTGTCCGGACATTGCGATTGTCATACGAGGATGGAGACATTTTATAGTAAGTCGAATTGTACATAAGAAAATTTATACACGCTCATAGAAAATCTCTATTTACTATAATGGTGATTTGGATTGAAACATTTGGTTAGCAAGCTTTTTTTTTGTGTGGTTATGAATGTCGTTCGGTTGCATTTAGTTTACTATCATGGAATTTTAATATATCATGTGTGCTTCGATTGCTTTTCTTCGCATTATTTTGGTGTCTTTTTTTTTCTATAGAAAAAAACAACTAAAATTAGATGTTGAAAAAACATGCGATATGTAGGAAATACATTTTATAGATACGTGAAAAAACTGATTCAGTTTTACTAGTTAATATACGACTCACTCATAAAGTCGAATAACTACAATAAGTTCTGAGATGTAATTAACACACATAGAATCAGATTTAACTTGTAAGAGAAAATGATATTAGCTCATATGAGTTGTCCAAATAAGAACTATATTTGAAAGGAATTTGTTTTGTTTAAAGACTTTTATTTCGAAGGATAGTAGCACCAAACAAACAATAGTGTCTACATGTGTAATAATCAAATCCTTTTTCATATACATACTCCATGTTCCATCAATCAGCATCATTTAATATTTAGCTAAAGACGAAGACGCTTAAGTGACAACGAAAAAAACAAAAAATGCATACATATTCACGTTCGCTTTTTTTTGTTCCAACTCAAATTAATACCTTTTTGTCTCACGAAAGTCATGACCCCCACCGATGGCATTTTTCCATTTATATGTACAATTATGTATATGATTCTCGATGAGATATTTACACATTCATTTGGTCCAAATATCTTATCTGCCTAATCCTTTTTTATGTTAGATTGTAACGAAGTTGTATTTATCTGTTATTCTTCCGCATAAACTTTGAACACTACTTAACATTTTACCAAAAAAAAAAAAAAATTTGAACACGTGTTTTTGGGGATAAAATGTGAATTTGATTTAGCAAATGGAACTATTTCTTTTATAAAGATGTTTGTGAACACAACATATGTTTGAGATTAATCTAAATATAATAATTCTTATAACGGCTAGCTTGCTAACATTTTCAGTAGATATTATTAGAATAAAAATAAATTAAACTAAAGATATGGATGTCCATATCATATTACACATTTTGAGAAAACATGTTTATTTCTTGTTAGACCTAGCCCAATTAGTCATTATTAATTAGACTCTATGTGTTCTGTCTAATGGTTGGACCATTGTTAACCAGTCCAACTAAAAATGTCCACACACACAAACAAGAAAAAAACTGAAAAAGACTAATGAAGAATTTTTTTTTTTTTAAAACCGTGGGAATTCCGAACCTTTGGTTAATAATTTCATCGGTATCCAAAAACAGTCTTTGGGTTTTCCGATTTAAAGAATAACTCTCCGTCCGAGAAAGAGTTTGAACCCAAGGCACAAGAGAACCAACCCCTTATGTTACCACTAAATCACCATTCCTTTGGTAAAATCTGTCTTTTTTCGTAGTCGTTGGTGGGTAGTCTACCAAGATAACTAACTGGAAGTTCCAACCAATATCTGCTTTACATTCGTTAATAATAACATGTTGCAGCTGTAACAATAAGTTACTGCGCTTAAACCGTATTTATTTTGTAGTTGCTGACGGTATAAATTTCAATCATTAATCGTTATAATTCAGAATTTAAAAAGCTAAAATTTTGTCTAATTTTTTTTGTTAAACTAACGATTACGAAACAACCAGATTTTGTTCACATACGTTGGTTGTTAATATCTAGAGGCTTCAAAATAAATAATAAAATATGTCGTTAGTCGCTATCAAGGAATTTTCATACACGAGTTTTCACTGTTTGACGTTTTATCCAACCCGAGTTCGGACGTTAATGTCTGTTATTTTTAGGGAGTTTTCTTCCAATTTTA